AGGCAGCAGTAAAAACCTAACAGGGGTTCTAAGCCCTCGCCCCTTATCCACTTAAGCTCTTTTAATCATGTATAACATTGCTCTCCAGGTTTTTTCAACTTCCCTCTTTCTATTCATTATTTTAGCGTACGTCTCTCTTTTATTCTTTATTTAATTCCCTATTCCATTCTGGTTTAGCAAGGCAGCTACATTAGTTGTGCCATCACCTCTCTTTATGTCTTGGCCAATGGGAAATGGAGGACCTTTTTCCTATAGACATAAGTGGTTGAAGCCACAGCTGTGTGTTTGAGGAAAACTCAAGTTACTTTTTAAAGTTATGTTTAACATTTAGTCAAACATAATTGCCCTTTACAGGATATTTTTGAATAGCTAGAATGCAGTGATGCTACCTTCCTTATTGGTGTAAGGGTGACTGACATCATGTTGTTATTAGTAGTGGACAGATATTATGGAATCCCTGAGCCAGTCTGTCCACTCAAGGAGCAAGATTCATCGGCACAAACTAGAGAAACCCTCAAAAGTTAATCACCAGCTGTAATTGTTAAGGAGCATTGGCTACCTGGCTCCTGGGATTTGTCCAGCCCTGTTATTGGTGTCCTAGAAAACACAAAGATCAGGTAAAGAAATGTTGGGAGATCTCCTATTTCATGCTGCTCATGCCCTAGTTACAGTAATTAATATAAAAAGAGTACTTGATAAACAGTCAAGCAAATTATTTTACACATTGTGAACATTGCTGAGAATATATGCAAAAAAAAAAAAGTAGTTACCCATTGCAACCAATTAAACTGCACGATTTTTTTTACATCGTCTTGAAAAATTTAAGCAAACTCCTAAACATCTGCCGTAGATAATATTGCCAGTTTTATAAATGTCTCCGATCATCTCACAGAAGTCCAGGCAGCACATTAACAAATATGCTATGAAGAAACCATACAGACCTTTTCATTCTCATTTGTATTATTAGAAGGAGACAGTTATGCAGTTCGCTCTACCTTGCATCTCTGGATAAAATATGTGCCAATTAACTGATGCTTTGTGCTCGCTGTGTGCTGCTGTACATCACATTTTAGCTCGAAAAATATATTAACCAATGTATTCTCCATGTGAAAGATATGCAAAAACATCAACCTTACCATACACAAAACTGTTTTATGGCAAAGGGTTTAAATCATTTGTGTTTGGACAACACTATTTCCCAGCATGCTGGTAATTTTGATTGACCACTGCTAATTTAAAAAAAAGGCTGTTTTTAGGAATGCTTTTTATCCTTTAATTATGAAACCTGGTACTCCAAGATAATCAAAGCAGTGACGAATTGGCCTGAGTTTGATAAAATCGCATGGAGTTTGCCCAGCATAAGTAACCATGCATTCACACAATCCTCTAAAATCAAAAGTGGTTTTATAAAATCTGCGGTAGAAATTGAAGGCCATTTTTTAGCCTGTGCAAATCATCATTATATCAGATAGAAACACTGACGCTGCATGTCAGATGGAATAAGGGTTAAACTATAAAGTGTAGATTTTTTTTTAAATTAATTATAGGGGATTTTTAGAGACAGCCGTTGAGTAATTTTTGTCTCCCCAAGTACTTTTGGGTGGAACCAAATGCCACAGTTCTAAGGCTTTTTTGTCTGTTAACAGAAGAATAGAGACAAATGTGTGCTGAACTGACAGCTCTTTCCTCCCCTGTCATTAAATTATTAACTGCCATCTCACAAAATATGGACTTTTTTTTTTTCCAGTAATCAAAAATGCTCTTTTCGAAGACACAAGACATTAGACATAATTTACCGCTATAATCATTAACAATGCCGCACTGAACGTTCTACATTTGAAAGATTTTTGTCAAGTTTTTATATTTCTTTTTTCCTTTCTTTAAACTAGTGTAAAACATTTCATCTTTAATAGAGGTTTTCAAAGGACTGCTAGGTGGCCACAGCTGTATCTAGAACGGCCTTTTTACCTCTATAATGTCCAATTTTTTTCAGCTGACTTTTACCATTTTTCTCCCTCTTAATATAATGTCTGTGTGTGCGTACTTACTGTCCGTGTGAAACTCTGTCTGGCCATCTGGGGTTAATTTTCATAATTCGTTCTAAATTTAGAAAATTAGATTAGCACATTCTGGGTCATTTCATTAGGTAGTTTGAAAAAGATTATTGATAGTCAAAGTCCATTCAGCCATATCAGCCAACCAGACTTTTAAAATTCACAGTAGTGTGCTCTGTTAGGAGATTGGTTGCTCTAATTTAGTGCTAGCTGAATAAGGTCATACAGTACATATAAAAATACACATCAGAAACCCCTCATATAAGGTTTAGATAGTAAGCCTTTCCTTTTAGGCAGGCCTTCTATAACAGGGTATCTGTTTAAAGAAAAGATTATCAGCTAGGTAGGATCTGTCTCTATTTGTCCATTATTCTTAGTTCAGAGATATTGAATGTTCATGGTCACAGAGCACACTTGTTTGTGGAATATCGTAACTTCCAAATGTATTTTTCACCATCCTCTTTCTTTTAAGGAAACCTTTCCTGGTGCTGGGTGAAACTTGGAGCCTGCAATTGCTGACTTCTACAGGGTTATTCACAAAAATGTGAAGAGTTTGGAGAAGACAAGAGAAGTGAGCAATCTAGGACAACATAACTGAACTGGAAAGTGAGCTGAATTGGAGAATTTGTCCATATCAGCTATGTTGTCCTAGATTGTTCACTTCTCCTGCCTTGTCTTCACCCTTTTGTGAATAGCCCTGCTAGTTTTGCAAATACTAGTTGCCAGGCTGTCATTCTGACTCCCTAGCTTAAATATCTTGTCAATTACCCAGAATAAGTATGTACCTAAGGTCTGTCAAATCAGTGGGTCCATATAACAGCCAGGTAACTTAAGATTTTCCAAAGATCAGCAATGGCAGCCATTATATTTCTTTTAGGAAAGGTTTTCTTTAAGAGAACTATGGAGTAAATGTTTTTCCCCCATAGTTCTCTTTAGTGTCACGGGAGGACATAACCTCTTCCCGTGACCCAAAGCTCAGTATATAGTGAGCGATATACTGAGAGCGCCGCAGCTGGGACAGATCCCTACAATACTGTCGTGATCCACCCAGCTGTGTGAGTGACAGCTGGCTCTGCCTTTCTAGAGCTGGAGTATCGGAGAGGGGAGGAGGAGAATCCCTGCAGGGAGCCGTGACTGACAGTCATCGCTTACTGCAGGGAGACGATCGGGAAGCGAGTGGATCGGCTGCATGTTTCTCTTCACTTCCCGATCAATAGAGCCGACCTGTGACAGCTTCTTTGTCACAGGTCAGCTCTAACTATGAGGATGAGTGGAAATCGCTCACCTCATAGTTCTCCTTTAACCCCTTTATGACCAGCGACGTACAGTGTACGTCACTGGCATTGGGGCTGTTTAAACAGAAAGCCGACGGGACTCTCTTTAAACTTGTAAAGCCGACTGTCGGCTTTACAGTAGAAGTGATTCTGGCGACTCTGCTGCCGCCAGATCGTTTCTACGGGCTGGTGAACAGGTCCGCCATCCAACCCCCCCCCCCCCGCCGCATTTCCCTGGCCCGGGATTGGCTTCTTATGTGTCGACCGGAAGCTGGGGAGGAGATGGGCGATCCCCTCCCCATTCTATGAGACTGGGAGCGATGCAGATTGCATCACTTCCGACCCCATAGCTGTCAGTTATGGGAGTCTGAAGCTCAGCTATAAGCTATCGAAGTGCAATCTGCTTCAATAGCTTATTTAGAGTGTAAAGGTGACACTAGGGGTCTTTTGGACCCCCAGCATCACCTTACAGAGTACCTGTCACCACCATCTGTTATCACATGGGGGGCTTGCAAGCCCCCCTATGTGATAGCAAGTAAAGTAAAGTTTTTTTTTAAAAATCAGTTTTTAAAATTAAATAAAATAAATGTGAAAATAAATAATTTTTTTCATGGCTTTTAAAGTCCCCCGCGAGCACGCGCGTCTTCACGTAAACACGCGTCTTCCCGTAAACGCGCGTCGGGTGCACCTAGGTATGAAAACGACGAGCGCGCTACACATGTTGGAGTGAGAGCAATAATTCTAGCTCCAGATATTTTGGGTATCTCTAAACTGATGACCTGTGGGGGCTTTTAAAGCGTTGTCTATGGACTTTTTGAGGTACTGAATTTTGTCACCGTTTCACGGACGCACACAATTCTTAACTTAGGCATGTTGGGTATCTATTTAGTGGTTGTAACCTCATCTTTTATATTTTTTTTTTAAATTGTATTTTATTGTGTTTTGGGGCATTTAAGTGCATTTTTAACTAAATTTAGGGGTTTGATAAGGAGTTGCGCTAATATCGTGCAACATAAAAATTTGCAACTGCCACCATTTTATTCTATAGGGTCTTGGCTTTTTTTTTCCAAAAACTGCAATGCAGCAACATTGATCTAATGAATAATGTACATTTATTAATCTTTGCCATGAAGCCTGCAGACTATTGCACCCACAATCATTATTTCGCAGGTGCAGCGCACAGTCTCTTGCAATATATTCCCCCAGTCTTAGGTCTGTAAGGAGGTACGGACCTGCTGGAGGAAGTGTGGCTTAATTTACAGAGCAGGTAGAGGGAGAAGGGATCGTCATCTGCATAGTCCATCTGCCACAGTAGCAGTTGGGAGATGTAGTTATTGACTAAAAGCAATCCCTGACATTCACAGACCCACAGCCATGCTAAATTTAAATAACCGCAGAATTCTGTTGGAAGATGCACCCCGTGCTTCAGGTAAGGGGGATGGTGTATGCTACCATGCAACATGGTCTAAAATGTGAACCTAGTCTTTAACATCATATACAAATCCTTTCTTATTTATCCATTCTCTTTTCATCAGTGTTGAGTGAAACCTATATCTCTAGGGTTATTTAAAATTTCTGTAGAACTTTACATGAGTTTTAGCTGCATGCATAAACTGAATGTAATAAAATACAAACAAGCCCAATCACATTGATTTCTTCTTTCATTTTCCAGGTGAAACTGCCACACCAATGCAGACCACAAGATACCCAAGCCCTGCTGAACTAGATGCCTACGCACAGAAAGTTGCAAATAACCCACTGACTATCAAGATCTTCCCCACTAACATCAGGGTACCCCAGCACAAGCACCTAAATCGGACTGTAAATGGTTATGATACTACAGGCCAGCGCTACAGCCCTTACCCATTACACACAAGTGGCTACCAAGGCCTGCTTGCTATTGTTAAATCTTCTAGCAAAAATGTGGTGAAGAATGTAGAGGGAAAACGAACTAAGATTTCTACTGCACAGGTTGGTGTTGCTCCTTACACCATGTCAAGCACTTTAACACAAGGCCAACCTTGCAACGGACAACTGAGTTATCTTGCAAATCAGAAGCAGTTGGATGCACCAGTGCCACCCAATGTGACAGTGGCAACATCAGTCATTCCTTTAACGGGTAGAAATTTAACACTCCAACAGTCTAATCTGCCCTCCATTCAAAGCATAATTTACCAGATTAACCAACAGTGCCAGGCTCAGGCTTCTCACCAGGCTTGTCAGGGTGTGGTGGTTACTAACTCTAGTCCAGCTAAGCAGGGAATGACCAATGGCTTTACTGCAATGACCGGGGGCACTGTGGCTTATACGGGCACTGTCTTGCAAGACTGTAGAGTAGGCACTGAGCTGACACTAGGATCTGCTCCAGTGATGGCAAAACCTGGGTCCTATCAGGATGGCATGGACTACCTTATATGGCAACAGAAGCAACAACAGCAGCAACTCCGGATATACAGTGGAGGCAGTGGTGGAGGTGGAGCAGTCAGCAAGTCGCCAGAAGTGTGCCCTGGAGTATCTCGCCCTTATACACTTGCTAGTGCGGTTGAAAAAGTCAGCTCTTCTCCACTGAACTGTGTTGGCATGCATGGTAATTTTTCAGTGGGGCAATACTTTGCTCCTCCATGGAACAGTATCTTGGTCACTCCCAACAGTGACTGTTACAATCCCCAGGAACTTGCCAATGGTCACAGGGATTTGGGGGTACATCCATCAGATGGACTAACCAGCATCCCCAGTAAGACCCTTTGCAATACCTCTATCCTTAGCAGTAGTCTTCAGTCTTTGGAGTATCTTATCAATGACATTCACCCACCTTGTATTAAGGAGCAGATGCTTGGCAAGGGTTACGAAACAGTGTCTGTGCCAAGGCTTCTTGATCATCAGCATGCCCACATCCGCTTGCCCATTTACAGATAACATTTTTGCTTTTTATGTAATTGGTGGCCAACACTGGTTGTAATCTGTAAACTAGATTATGCTACTTAGCCCTAAGAAGGTATGTTTGTAAGTGCAGTGAGGGCAGAGGTGGTGTTAGGAAACACCCACTGCTCTGCAGCTAGAACGCATAGCATTGCAGGTCATTACAAACCAAGAATGGTTGACTATTCCCTTCTTGCAGTTTCTGCTATATAGCAAGTGAATGGAAGACTATGGCTCTATCAACACACAGGTTTTTCTTGCTATGTCTTAGACCTTAACAGGGAACGCGCTACTGGTTGTACCTTCTTGATTCTCCATTTCTTTTTTTTTTTTTTGCTGATTTTTGTAATTGTTAAAATCTCAATTCTTGTTTCCATATATAAACTTTGTGTCTGAATGCAGCAGCATTTCTCACCACTGTGGCAGAAAATGAAGGCAGTAGGTTAGGTATTTATTTATGTTATACATGAGATTTTTTTTTTCCCCCAAGGTTTTATTATTCTTGATCCCTTATTTTTCAAAGTATACTGATTTCATTTTGAAAAAAATCTTATTTAAGTTGCCAGATCAAATTAGAAAATAATATGTATCCCCAAACAAATTTCTCAAGTTTTATTTTAGATATAGTTTGATTTTGTTTTTTATATTTTTTTTACCATGAAGAAAGATTGCCTGATTGAATACTACAACAAGTAATTATGAGTTATATTTAATGTGTAAATTATTACTTCATATTTACAGTTTGTGGTATTTACCTCTATAACAAAATGAGGTATTTTTTTTTCATGTTTACCTGTCAGTCTCTCAAACCTACTGCTGTTTTTTGTGTTTCGAATCTGGATTATAGGTTGATGTTTCATATTCCACTAAAATGAAACTCATTACCACTGAAAAAAACTGTTCATTGGATGCTGTGAAAATGTGGGATGTTCTTAACGTATGTCATGATTTCAGGAGTTTTCAGGCATAGTAATTTCCTATGTTGGCAAATATGAACGTTCATCAAGTCAGCCAATATATTTGCCATCTCTGTTCATGATTACTCTGTAGTAAAAATCTTACCTACCAAATAACACTGTAAAGGGTTAGCTGTAAAATACGCAAGTAATTGTTATTCAAAGATCCACGAGCCAAAAATACAAGTTGCCTTATATAAATAAACCAAGAACATTCACAAACACATATGCAAAGTTTTGATAAGGCTGGCAGGGATTATGGACCCATTCACACTTCTGCATTGTGGCAGCTCACTATACATGTGGTTTGTTGCAGTGCCTTTCATTGTGAATGGCACCCCAACGCACTGTACAGTAGAGTGCAATGTGCGCCCCCATGGCGTACGTGTGTGGTGTGCTGCATTACTAAAAATCCATTTCCAATCCATTTTTTTTTTTAGCATGTCATCCATTGTGGTGCATTGGCAGCCCATTTATAATAGGCCCTGAGACATTTAAGCAGGACAATGCATACATTTTATTTTCCATTTCACTTTAAACTAGTTACCCAATGGCCATTGGAATATGCACTATGGGTGGCTTTAAAAGCCTTACATTCAGCCCCCCTGCCCTTTTTTTTCTGATGCATAAAAAAGACTAATAAAGTTTATGGCAGTGGTAATAAAACCTGTTTTTTTTTGTCATTGCGAGGCCATAATTAGGCTTGTCAACATCAGGGATTAGTAAGACGAGCACAAAGCACTGGCTCTCAACTTTGCAGGCAACTTTCCAAAACTACTATACCTGCTTATACATTTTATATAATAAAATTATTTAACTTCTTTTAAAAGTAGTCCTCACTGTGTTGTGATTGGCCATGAATAAGCCACATTTTTGGACTTTCTAGCCAATTTGAATAAATGTGAGTTTTTGGTCAGTATTGGAATCACATATTTGTTTGTGAATGTGACTACTGTGCTACTTGATGACATTGAACAAACTTGTATTTTAGCTCAGATGGTATCTTTATGAAAGCTAAGTATACAGGAAATTGTTGTAGGGTTCTACAAATCTTGCAGAAGAATGGACCATCGTGCCTTGAAAGTAACAGTTCAACAGAGTCCTTTTCCTGTATAGTTTGCCTAAAACTAATTTTGTTATTTGGATTTGCATGTGTTTTTACACTTAAACTTTTAAACTTCCCCGAAAATCATATTGCCATATTGGTAAAAGGGTTACACAATCCTGGGTATAGCTATGAAAGTAAAATGTACTGCAAGTAATTATAAGTATCTAACTATACATATTTTTTTGTGTTTTCCACTCTTCTGATTTATTTATTTTTATCCTAGTTCTGCTTTTGTATTTTTCTTGACAACCATTTGTTTGGTGTGATTGACAGAACTCCTATTCTCCAGACACAAAAAGTAAGGTATGAGCAGTTCTGCCAGCGGAACAATGGAAACCATTGTCAGTGGATGACTTTCACCAGTTTTAGTAGACCATTTAGCCAGAAACAGATAAAGTTTTATCTTTTTAGCAGTTTCAGTATACTGCTGAAGGGTGTATAATAGTTTATGTTCTCTTTGGTCTGTGGCTGCTGATACTGAAATGATTTCTTTATCGACACTGCAATCGTTTTCTTTTTAAAATACTGTAAAAATGATGTTACATATGGTTGATTTATAGTTCCATCGTTTCCAAGGGCACAGATAAAAGTTTTTCCTTGCCAAACATAGTGGGCATCTCTAGGTGCCTGCACAACACATCTGATCTCTATATAGCTCCCCTGCACCATCACAATCCAAGGTGCCAATATCCAACTATATTCCTAGTCACTGGTTACCCCCTGGAGTTGTCACTAAGCAATAATAAGGTGCCTAGTGTTAAAGGGGGTCAGAACCAGAGACCAGCAAGCTGGTCGGAACCTGGACCTCAATTTTCTGGAGCAGTGAGGATCTACAAAGAAATCTGCATGCACCCCTACCGGTGACTACTATTTATGGCATGTAATAATTATAAAATGTCCCCTATTTTGTTTTAGGGGAAAATAGAGCAGGTTTACACAGTTTGGGAGGATAATAACCAAATTCTGCTTTTATAAAATTTTATTACATTAATCTGAAATCTGAAATTGTTAAAAATAGGCTAGACTGAAGATCTTAATCTTTTAGCAGACAATTGATTTGGCTCCCCCCACTCAATCTGTTTAATTAATTCACAATGCATTCAGGTCTTTTTGGTGGTGAAATGTTTAATTTATGGAAACCAGAGATTAGTCCTTTTATTGTGACTTTTTTTTTTCTTTCTCTTTCCATTGAATCTGTGATGTTGTAGCCCAGTAAATATAAGCATTACACTCGAACACATGCTTACACAAGATCGTGCTAAGGATGCAAATGGGTGTTCAGGCTTCATTGTTGCTGCTATTAACAGCTGAATACACTGCTCGTCTACTCTGAAACACAATAATAAACATATATATTATCCAAAAAATCTATATAATCATTCCAGTGTTGCTTTACTGGATAAAATAAATACATTTTGCTACTCTGTCAAAAAGGTTGGCAGAAAATTAATTAATTAAAAAGATGGTAACGTCATTTGTTTTTAGGCCATAACTTGCACTAGTAAAATGTAGATCAGAAGAGAGAATGCAGGAGGTTATTTAAAAGTAAATACAAAATAATAAAAAGAAATACTTGAAAACTTGAATATAATTTTTGTAGTGTAATAATATTGTTTAATTTACATGTTGGCTGCTAAAAAACTAAAATATACTAAGAACATTTCCTCATACGTCATACTCTTTTTGCTTAAAAACAGATCTGCAAGAATTAGTTTGTCACTTCTACCATCCTAAAATGTTTAAATGGTTTTTATTCTGGACTTTAAATATTTAAAATGGATAATAGGCCAGAAACTCAGAGTAATTTGTTGTTAGGGTGTGCAATTTGTGAACAAGGATCACTTTTATATATTACAATGTTTTTTTTGGTGTTTGACAAGGCTAGGGGTAGAAATTGTATCCATGTAGTCTGTTCTGTATGTACAATCTGTTTTTTCACAATTGGTGATTTAATGAATCACCCAACCATCTGGAATCCTTTTATTGTAAGATCACTGCATGCACTGATTTTAATGTAATGAGAGTGACTTTTAAAGATGGCTTTGTTAAGAGTCCTTTTTACATTAGTCTGTGCTTACTTCCCATGCCTGGTGAGGTTCAAGAAAATGCTTTTTCTTTAAACTGATTGGGTAATTTCTGTGAACACAGAATACAGTGAAACCTACGCTACTGGTAAACCTGCACGTCCAGGTGCCCACTGGAATACCTGCCTTTTTTGGTCTATGTGGATGTTCATCACACTGTTGAACCAGTAGAGTGGCCTGGGAGGGTGTGGGCTAAATGTCAACTTTCCAGTTAAACTTAATAAATGTCTAAATAAGTGAGCCAGGTTCCAAGGGTACTCGAGAGGAAAAACATGCAGCAATGTGCAGACACCTCTAGTTCAGTTTAGGAAACCTAAGATAATGACAGGTTTACATTCGATTTCTACCCGCCACTGACTTTGAAACCCATACTCTGTTGTCGTAATGGAAAAGAAATACAAATTTAAGTTTTAACCCCAGCCTAGATTATTTTTTTCTAGGATAGAGTGGTGTCGGTTTTAAACTCTGTCAGGTTTTAATTGTTTTCTGGGCCCCTGTTAGAGATATAAAAAGCCTACTCAGACACAAGAACACATTTACATTTTACCCCTTCAATCTCTTAATCAGTGCCTACAAATAAAACCTGTTTTTGCTTATAATTATAATACGTGGCGCTTCAGTTTATGTAGCCCATATGAATGTACCACTTAGGGTTCATGCACTGTGTAAAGAGAAATATCTTACCACTTGTTATTGTGTGCTCAACATTCTACATTTTATGATAAAAGCACACTACTGATTAACATTAGTGGTCAAGATTCACAGATTTGGCTTTGTGCATGAACCATTAAGGACCATTTTCTTACTTTAAACAGTGTACATCCCCTAAAGTCTGGTGTATTCAGTACAAATCAACATACTCTTTTACAGATTGCTGTTCGCACACACTTGTACACTTTTGTAACCAATAATTACCGAGCAAGTAGGTCACATAAGGATATTAGTCTTTCCTTAACTGGTATCTAGTACTTAACTTCAGCAGGGGGGACATCCAGATTCTTAGAGTATCTAACCTGCTGGCTGGGTTTAGACGAGATGTTGTACTGTGCATTTCTAGTCTTTTTGTTTCCTTACCAAAAAAAAAAAAAAAAACTCAAACGAAGATCAGAGTAAACATTGCTAATGCTGTAATTACATGGTTACATGTTGTGTATATTTTTAATTTTCTACACTTGCTACATGTCTTTTGCTAAATGGTTTAGTCCTCATTCGCCCTTGT